TCAGTGACTTTGTAGACAACCCCAAAACCCCAAAACCCCAAAACCCCGCTAGAAAAGAATTGATAAATATGTATATAAATTTCTTATTTTAGAGTTTAATTAAATCATAATTCATGAAAGCTAATTAAGCAAAAAATAGAGACTAACAAGATTAGTTGGAAAAAGTTGCTTGTGGGATTTGGTAATCCAAATTTCTCTTTAATCTTGTTTTTATTAGTTAATATTAGATACCAGTCCAAGGTATTGCTTCTCATTTAGCTATGCACGATAGACAAAATCGCAATAATCCAGATTATATTAGGAATCAAAATATTTAGGAGCAGAATCGAAATTAATTGTTGCAATAAAAGTAAGTCTCATATGTGCATCCCATTATAAATTGTTGATTTAGAAGAAACAATAATGTTGACGAAGTATTTCTGGATGTTGACATGGAAGTATTCGAAAGAATTAATTAAAATTTACAATAATAAAATAACGACGACGTGCCTGAAAGCTTAGATGCTTCTGAATTGCATACTATATAATGTCCTATGTGCAATGATGAACTCATACAAGAGTTTGCTGATGAGCATTTATGCCCGGGTGAACAACAAAATCAAAGTAGAAGCAATAGATCTTAATAGGTGATATCCTATAATTGTCCGTAATGTGGAATGGTTTGTGAAAATTAAGTAGATCTTGATGATCATCTCCAAGCTCATTTTTTGGCAGAATAGGAAGATTCCGAAAGCAGCAATAATGGAAGTGCTAACATTTAACCTGCTTAACCAATATAGCAGTCTAGATTCTATGACAGAATAGTTAGAGCTAACTTACACAATCAGAATCAAAATAACCGTAGTAATAATAGACCAGAAGAGAGGAAGCTTAGAGAAGTAAGTTGATTTCCTATTCGATAAAATTTAATAATCTTTAATGATAGGGGAGTGTGAGACAATAAGATCTATAATAGTTACACAGAGAACGAAGTTAAAGGAACCAATCACAGAATCAATAGAGACTGTAGCAAATGTAATAATAAATGAATCAGAGTTAGCATCCCAATAATTTTCATCAAAATCAATAGCCTCAAATCATTCCAATGATGAATCCAAATAATCCTCTAAATCTTAGCATGATGAGAATAAATCTTAATGGTCAATAAATTCCGGCTTAATTATTTTTCAATATGCCTTAGGGAAGGCAAGTCTGTAAGTTAGATTAACATTTAACAATGCCTAGAGGAAATGATTATAAATGGAGGGCCAAGATTCAGAAATAGATTTAATCAAATGAACCATTAGAATCTGGATTTTGAAAATATGAATGAATAGCAATTATTCGAATATTTTGTAAGTTATATAGTATTTTATTGACTTCTTCTTAGTCTCAACTAGATTCTAAATTGAATGACAGACCTCTTGATGATGATATAATTGACTAGCTTCCATAATAGTAATTTCACAAAAGAAACAATAGTAATAATGGCAATAAAAACAATAAAGCAGATAGCGATGAGAATAAATGCACAGTTTGCATGATGGAATTCGAAGAAGGTGACGAACTGATTACACTGACTTGCTTCCACAAGTATCATAATGGTTGCATTAAGGAATGGTTTCACAGACAAAATTTCTGTCCCATTTGCAGAACTAAGATTGATTTATAGTGATTGGGTCTATAAGTTTAATACAGTAAAATTATCCAAATGCTAAGAAATTTCTTTAAAAATTAACCAAAATAATAAGCAAAGTAGTATCTAAGAGGGGTTTTGGGGTTTTGGGGTTTTGGGGTTTTGGGG